CACGCTGCTCAGCGGTTATGCGCTCTCTCTTATGGGTTCATGCTCTTTAGTACGGCCTTTTCGTAAATGCCAATTTTTCTCTGTTCTCAAGCGCTTACGTGGGTTGCACTGGCTTCGTAGTAGATGCTATTTCGTGACCGTTGGCCTTCCATCGCCGGTGCTCTAGCCGAAGTGTGCTATTCCGTGGTTTGGTGACTTCATGCAGTCGTGTTGTTCCGTCGCCCGTGCATCGTGATCTCCTGATGAAGTGTCATCGACCGCGGTATCACGCTATCGTGCAATCGCGGTGTGGTTATGCTTTCTATGGTATTGTGCTCGTGTGGTGCATCTGCGTTGTCCGTGTTATCGTGCTCTACGATGCCATCGTGCTCCACGGTGTGTAATCGTGGTCATACCAAGCCCACCCCTGTGCATTTGGTGGGTGGTCCGCAGTCCGTGCAATCGTGTTCTTATGTACGGCTGTCCTCCGTGGCTCGGTACGCTCAGGCTCTACACTGGTATGGTGCTCCGTGACTCGGTGATCTCGCGTGGCAGCGTGTTCTCCGATGGTTAAGTGGCTAACCCACCGTCCATACTGTCGTGTTATCTCTGGTGTTGGGGCTGGGCTGTCGTCTGTCTTATCGTTAGCTACCGTAGTGTCGCGCTCCGTGGATCGGTGAGCTCATGTTCTACCTAGGCATCGTGCTCCAAAAATTGATGATTTCTGATTTCCCGTATCTGGCCTCCTGCGGGCTCAGGTTTGGTCGGTTGACTGTGCTCCATGTTTACCCGTGGTGTTGTTGGGAGTATTGTTTTCGGTCCATCTGACCGAATGGGGTTTTTTTAACCTGGGTCTTGGGAAAACCTTCCCTTTTTTTTTTTTTCCCCTAGAGCCCCCGCGTGTCTTTTTCAGAACTGGGCTGGGGGGGTTCTATGTATTTAGTTTCCCTTCCGTGGCCCGTACGTTCCTGTCATGTTCTCTCCATCTGTTCTTTTCATGGCTGCGTGCTCTTTCATCTTTCACGCTACTTATAAAACCTCGTGGTTTGCATCGGCTAAGTCCTCTATCATCGTCCATGGCCTTCCGTGCTTCGTGTTGCTCTTCTATCCCATCGTGTACATAGTGTAGGTCGGTATTCCTTCGTGTTTCGTGTCCTTGCTTAGACATGTGCATCCGCGCCAGCTTAATCACAAACGCTGTTCCCATTTTGTTTGATGTACACAACGTATATTGTTTGATGTACACAACGTATATTGTTGGAAAGTTCACATAATATCTGAAGGTCGCACACTACGCGCGCAAATACAAAGGAAGATGATACTTTTTCCCGGGGGCAGTGTGAGGTGCAGGGGTGTAAGCCACGATAGTCATATTTTAAAGTTTTCACATTATTAAAAATAGTAATACAATTGTTATTTATTATTAAACGCTGATATAATTATTATGTGTACTACTACTACAAATGACTGCAAGCAAAAATATGAAATGCCTTGATAACAGTACTAAGAAAAATAATATTGTAAGTTAAATTAGTACAGCAGTACTACGAAGCCTAAAACATCATTCTAAGCTCAATAAGTACTAAAGTTTCGATTGAGGCCAAAATATAAGTCACCAGGGCCTATAAATTTTTTCTTCAGCTTCTACGACGATATAGTACGTGTGTGCTTATCGGCGCCTTTTAATTATGCTAACTAACGCGTACACAGGCAGCGCCCTTTGCGTGGCCTTGCAGACCGCAGCTGAAAATGAGAGCAAAATCTTCCTCGCTGTCGTCCATGGCGGCACTCATCTCAGCCTCGATCGTTCCAGCTTCAGCCGGCACGTTCCCCTTCACCGTACTCAGCACTGCGCTTACGTTCCTCGTCGTTTCATCTGACTTAGAGACTCTAGTTGCGAACGCCGACTTGGGAACGATGGTTGCAGCAGCGACGTACGCGCCAGACTTGATCTCTACCTCTTCCGCGGAAGCATTACACACTTCGACCAACACCGTTCCATCGCCACGGTACACAACGTCCTCGCGACTCTCAAAGCCTCGTCCGTTCCGGGAACGCCCTCGACCAGCACAACTGAGTGGTCCTTCATCGTTCCGCGAACGCTCGATCTCACTAAGGCCTGGCGTCCGGGTTCCAAACGTACCGTCGACGATATCGTAACCGCGTAGGTTTCTTCTACCCTTGTCGCGCCCAACGGGATCACGTCTCCCGTCTCCTTCAGTGTCATCGATTGCTCCTCGAGGTCGATCACCGCGCGGAACGCCCTTAGCGAGTCCGTTCCGAGAATTGCGTCCACAAACAAGTGATCGGTCACGACGAAAGGAAGCGTCTTCTCCAGCGTTCCAAGCGTGTCGGGCAAGTCGATAACCCCACTAACGCGAATCTTGTGCCCCGAGACACTAACCAAGCCCCCAGTATAAGGTCGTAGAGGTTCGGAGGCTCGTCCGAGACGCTTCAGCACGCGTTTGTCGACGAGACTGGCGACCGCACCTGTATCAGCTAGCATTTCGGACGGGCAGCAATCGATAAAGCCGTCCGACAGCGCTTGCACACCCCCAACGCTGCAGATGACACGCTTGCCATCCGGCACGACACTTTCACCATCGTCGAAGACGTCATCGCCGCTCACTTCGCGCAGCCCAGGGCTCCTCCGCGGCTTGGGAGCTCTTCTCACGTTTAAGGAATAAACCTCGGGCTCCTCTTCTCCTATTTTGGGATCTCCGTCCTTGATAGTCACACCGAAAGTCACCCTCTTCCTGGAACTTGTCCCAACGGTCGCAGTCACTAATTTTGACGTCTTGTCCCGTCTGTCGCACAACTGGTCGCGAATTACGGAAGCTTCTGTCCCGAAATAGTCTCGTGCCCAGGCCAACGCTCGATTCTGGAACGTCTCAGCCAGCGTTCCACCCACTTCGACGAGGTATCCTCGGAACGAATCCTCGTCCAAGAAAGCTCTGTTCTCTTTGTCGCGCAAAGGTGGGATGTCGTCTTCAGCATCACCGTTTCCCTCGCACTCAGGAACGTCGGAGGGGCGATCCTTCATAGCGTTCAGCTCTTGTTTGGGGAGTTCGTACACTCGGTTACGAATAATGGAACGCCACCGAAATGGTAACGTTCCCTTCTCCTCCGCAGGGAGTTCCTAGATTGGGCACGAAGTCCTCTTCGAGTCCGACACAAACGTTCTGTGTGAACTCGTTCTCCACCGCGTCCTCGGTATCTCCGTACAGCCCTTACGCTCGTCCTCGTCCGTCGCAACGGAAACAACGACCGTCGTCGACTTCTCTCCCGTTCTTCCGACACCCTTGAAGTCCCGATTAGCACGCTTCGCTTCGGTCGACGTCTCTAGCGTGTTAGCGTACCAGTCCAGCCAATACTCTGGCGTT